TTCAAGATGCTGCTGATGACGATGATGATGACGACGAGTATGTGTTTCAAGATTATGCTGATGACGATGGTGATGACGAGTATGTGTTTCAAGATGTTGCTGATGATGATGGTGATGACGAGATGCGTTTGGAGCAATGCATTGTTATAATGAGCTTCGCAGGGCACGCTCGGGTGGGAAGCACAGCCCACCAGACTAAGGGAATAACTCCCCGGGGCTAGGCACCTATAGCGGGTTACATAAATTCTCCTCTCTTTCCCCTTCTTCCTCCTCCTCCTCCTCCGCCTCCACCTCCGTCGGTTCCTCCTCACCCCTCTTACTCCCAGCGGGTGAGCGCCGAAGCGCGTTCCAGAGGGATATCTTAAGCCTTAATCTCTCGATTCTCCGGCCTCCAGAGGCCAGAAACAAACATTAGCGAAATACATATTGATTTCTTTGTTGTTGAATTACAAAGGGAATCCTTTTGTTGTGAACTACACATTGTTTTCTTGTGTGGCGGATTGCAAAAGGACTCCTTTTGTGGAGGATTACACAAGGATTTCTTGTATGGAGGATCGCAAAATGATTCCTTTTGTGCCGAATTACAAAGGAAATGCTTGTTTGGTGAATTACAACTTGTTTCCTTGTGTGGAGGATTAAAAAGGGAAACCTTTTGTGGAGCATTACAAAGGGATTCCTTTTGTGGAGGATTACAAATTGATTTCCTTTGTCGGCCTTCCTGGTAGTGAACCAGGGGACAAAAGAAAACAAAAATCAGGAAATCATTGAAATTTGTGAAAATTGCAGGTTTTCAATGCATTTCTAATGCTTGGAAGCAAAAACCTATAAACAACACAGCATTTTCCAAGGTATTGAAGCCGAAACCATATGAAAACACAGCATTTTGGCATTCGGAACGCGGAAATGCTGTGTGTGTTTTTTTGTTTTATGTTTTTGCTTCAAAACATTGGAAATTCATTGAAAAACTTCAATTTTCCCGATTTTCAATGATTTCCTTTGTTGTTTTCTTTTGTCTCCTGGTTCACCACCAGGAAGGCCCACAAAGGAAATCAATTTGTAATCCTCCACAAAAGGAATCCCTTTGTAATCCTCCACAAAAGGAATCCCTTTGTAATCCGCCACAAAAGGAAACAAGTTGTAATTCACCACAAAAGGATTCCCTTTGTAATACGCCACAAAAATGAATCAATTTGTAGTTTGCTACAACAGGAATCATTCTGTATTCCGCTACTTTGAGCAATTCCTTTAGAGATGACGAAAAGAATACGCCAAAGGAAAGCAAGTACAGAATAAGTAATAAACCAAACACCGAGGTGGTACACACACACACACACGGTTTGGTCAACCTTACGGAGGGGGGGGGCAGAGGAAATTCCTCTCCCTCCGCCTCCTCCTCCTCTCCTTCTCCTCCTCCTCCTCCTCCTCCTCCTCCTCCTCCCCCTTAAAAAGATTCAATGCAAGTTTTGTCGGTTTTTGGTGTGCCCCCCTCCTCCCCCCAAAGAAAAAACAAACAACCTAGGCCTTTTTTTTCGGGGGGGGGGGGGGCAGAGGGAATTCCTCTCCCTCGTCCTCCTCCTCCTCCTCCTCCTCCTCCTCCTTTCCCCAGAATGTAGCTTTTGGCTATTCGGATGCTTCGAAAGAAAGAAATGCCCCGCTTGGCATTGCATTGGCATTGATTTGGCCATGGTTTGGTACCGCATTGGCATGGCACTTGGCAGTTCGTTGGCATTGCGCTGGCATGTCGCAAGTCTTGCGCTGGCGGGTCCTAATGGAAGCCTCCAGAAGAGGACTCATATTGAAACCCTATATCAAGAGGATTCCTACTGAACCCCTCCCCCACAAAAAAAAGGTTCATCCATATAGAACCCTGCACAGCCGGATGTTATGCGAAGCCCTCCACAAAATAAAGATTCCGACGGGAATATATCACACATGCTTCCCCCCATCGGTATTGCAGTGACATTGGGTTGGGAGCGCCTTGGCATTAAGTTGGCATTGCGCTGGCACTGCTTCGGCATTGCGCTGGCGAGTTCCAATCGCTCCCTTCGCAGAAGGATCCCAGTCGAGCCCCACACGAACAGGATTTCGATTGAACCATTCCACCAGAAGGGTTCGCATTGAACCCATCCGAAGCCCTCCATAGAAGGACTCCTATTAAAAACGACCACAAGATATTTCCCCCCCATGCATTTCATTGGGATTGGGTCGGGGTTGCCATGGCATTGGTTTGGCATGGCGTTGGCACTGATTTGGCGTTGCGCTGGCGAGGCCTGATGGCTCCCACCGTAGCAGGATTCCGATTGAAACCTTCCGCACGAAGGGTTCCTTTTGAAAGCCCCCGCCTGAAGGGTTCATGGTTCAACCCTCCACATAAGGATTCCTGCCGAAGCCCTCCACAAAGAGATTCCTATCGGCATCCTCCGACGAAGGATCCGTAACCAAATCATCCACATCAGGACTTCTGCTGGAATCTGTTGAAGGACTGGAACCACGCCAACGGTATTGCATTGGCAGTGGTTTGGTAACGGTTTGGCGTCGCATTGGTATTGCGTTGGCATTGCGATGGCATTGCGCTGGCGAATCCCAACCAAACGCTCCACGTAAAAGGATGCCGATTGAACACGTCCACAAGAATGGTGCCCACAGGCCCCCCACAATAAGGATTCACATTGCAATCCTCCATAAAAAAAGGTTCCATGCGAATACATCCACAGAGGGATGCCTATTGAAATCCTCCGAAGAAGGGTCCTTCGAACGATTCCTGTGTGGATGGCATCTTCCACACAACGGTCTCTTAGAAGGATTGATGTTGAGCGCTACCACAAGCAATCCACCCCCACTGGCGTTGCTTTGGCATTAAGTTTGGATCGCCTTGGCGTTGGTTCGGCATTTCGTTGGCACTGCGTTGGCACTGCGCTGGTGAATCCTCAAACGATTCCGAGCGGAACCCTCCACACGTAATATTCCTATTCGAATATGTAACAAAGGGTTCCCCCTCCTTGGCGTTGCATTGACATTGGATTGGGACCGCCTCGGCATTGGTTTGGAATGGCGATGGCACTGCTTCGGCATTGCATTGGCATTGCGCTGGCGAGTCCTGTGGCTCCCTCCACAGAAAGACTCCGACTGAAACCCACACAAAAAGGACTCCTAGCGAAACCCTCCACAGGAGGATCCCGATCGAAACCCTCCACAGAGGCATTCCGATTGAAATCCTCCGAAGAAGGATTCGTAATGACACCGTCCACAACAGATTCTGATTGAAATCCTCCGAGCGCAAGGATTCCCCAATTGGCATTGGATTGGGCACTGCTTTGGCATTGCGCTAGCGCGTCCTTGTGCCTCCTTTCGCACAGAGGTTCCTATAAAACCCTCCAGGAGTAGGTTTCCTTTTTACCATCTACCACAAAACCCCCCCCCCCCCCCCCCCCCATTGGCATTGCATTGGCACTGGATTGGGATCGCCTTGGCATTGGTTGGGCATTGCGATGAAACTGCTTCGGCATTGCGTTGGCATTGCGCTGACGAGTCCTATGTCTCCCTCCGCAGAAGGACTCCTACTGACCCCCCCAAAAAATCATTCCGAGTGAAACCCTCCACACAAGGATCCCGATCGAAACCCTCCACAGAGGCATTCCGATTGAAATCCTCCGAAGAAGGATTCGTAATGACATCGTCCACAAAGGATTCTGATTGAAATCCACCGAGCGAAGGGATTCCCCCATTCACATTGCATTGGCATTGGTTGGCAATGGATTGGTATTGCATCGGCATGCATTGGCGTGGTGCAGGAGATAGACAGTGAGAGGGACAAAGAGAGAGAGAGAGAGAGAGAGAGAGAACACGAGATAACGATATAACGAGAGAAGCATATTATGAGGGGATCACGGCGAGCAGAAAAATGGCAAACAGCATCAACGTTTACAAAGATAAAAGGGCGTCCCACTCGATAAAAAACCGGATCACAACGACGAGGGGCTCCACAATCCCCCGGCCTCTCCTCTTCCTCCTCCTCCTCCTTCTCCTCCTTCTCCTCCTCCTCCTCCTCCTCCTCCTCCTCCCCCTCTTCCTCGTCCTCTTCCTCCTCCTCCTCCTCCTTCTCCTCCGCCCCCTCCTCCCCTTTCCATGGTGGCCGCCACGTGCCAACGACTCGAGGAGGAGCACCATGACGAGGCAGACCCTACAACCCAACGCTTCGACACAGTCAAAAGAACTTCGCTCTTCGTCGCTCTCGGCCCCCGGGATCCCCCGCCAGGCCCCGGGACTCGGACCTGGACTCGGACCTGCAGGTGTGCGCCGACGGGGGCGCCGCAGGCGGGCGCCGTGGCGCCGAGGTGTGGGACAAGAGCGGCACTATGAAAAGATCCGTCTCCATGGTTCGGCGGTCTCTTCGCCGGTTGGTGGCGGCATCACTATTACAGTCGGGGCGTTGACCTAAGGAACCCTAAATAAGGAACGAGGCCCCTTTTTTTCCATAAGTTAACCTTCGATTTCCTGTCGAAAGCATAAGGGAAGCCTGAGGCAAGCTGCGAAACACTTAAGGAACGCGGAGCCCCTCCCCAACCAAAAGGGTTCCTTCTTCAGGGCCCCGACTGTAGGTCCCGCAGGGGGCAGGACAGGACGCACGAAGGGAGGGAGTGGCGTCCGACGAGCGAGGACGGGGGGCGAGGCCGAGGGACGGGGAGAGGGACGAACGGCAGGAGAGGCGACGGAGGGACGCGAGCGAGAAAACCAAACGGCGCTTTGAGATTGCTCATCAAACGATATGCTGACGAATCCTCCCTCAATCACTGCCCAGACGTCTGTCTTGGCAACACCAGTCCGATCTTGATCGGCATGTTTTGTCCAGGTGCACGTGCACGAACGACCGACTCAGGGCCGTCAACAAACAACTCAGGATGACAAGTTGGCCCTGGGGAAGAGGTCCAGACCTCTCAAAGACCCCTTAATGAACAAATCGAGACGCCGGGGAAGGAGAGGGCGGTGAGCCGTCGCCGGGCCTCGTGCGGAGGCTCTGGAGGAACTGCTCCCAGCGCCTGTGCCACTTGTACAGGTCCACGTGGCTGCGGGTGTTCGGGGGGAAGATGCTCTGAGAGTTCGCGAAGCTGCCGTCGTTGATCACCACGTCCACGTGCTTGATCGTCTTTTGGTTCAGCACCTCGCACTGCTTCATGACGAAGCCCGTCGGGGTGAACATCACGTCCGAGGTGAAGGTGATCTTGGCCACCCCGACCGACACCTGGGGAAACCACAAGGTACCGATGCCGCTACTCGCCAGACTTCTCCCAGTGCGTGTTTTGGCAAGAGTGTCGAAGCGAATCCAACCATGGCGCCGAGGGCATCCTAAGATGCCAAATAAGGCAAACATGCGGCAAGGGTCGCAGTGTCGGTACCTTTTCCTCCTTGGAGCGCCTGCTCACAGACAACGGATGCTTCCACGACGGCCTTGGCCGCAGCCGCGCTCTCCTCCTTCTTCATCATCTGCGCCGAGGCGACAACAGCCACCTCGGTGCTCGCCCCTGGTCTGCTCTTCGAGGCGTCCCAGGCGGCGAAGAGGGCCGCGACCTTGGGGCCGAAGATGTAGGTGAAGGCTCCCTTGAGGCGCTCCACCGAGCCAACGGCCCCGTCCTCGTCCTGTGGGCAAAGAGTGAGCCCTGACATCCTCGCGACGTGCAACACATCGATACTCGGCCAAGGGGGGGCCTTGGCCGGGCCCCAGGGGCGTCAACAACGACTCAGGATGAAAAGCTGCTCCACGGCAAGGGGTCCAGACCTCTGGGAAGCCTCTTTGTGAAACAACACGACGTCGGATGTCGGGGAATGCATAGGAAGAGGAGGAGGAGGAGGACGAGGAGGAGGAGGAGGCGGAGGCGGAGGAGGGGGAGGAGGAGGACGAGGAGGAGGAGGAGGAGGAGGAGGAGGAGGAGGAGGAGGAGGAGGAGGAGGAGCGGGTGGGTGGGGGTGCGTGGGGAGTGCTGGTGGTGTGGCGCCGCCTGATTGCGGCGTTTGTCTCAAGGCGTCTGCAGAATGCGGCCCTGTGAGGTGGAGTGGCGGTAGGAGGGACGAGGTATGAAGGAGAGAGGGAGAGAGCGGGCCCTCCTCCTCGTCTTCCGTCTCGTCTTCCTCCTCCTCCTCCTCCTCCGCCTCCTCCTCCTCTTCCTCCTCCTCCTCCTCCGCCTCCTCCTCCTCCGCCTGCTCCTCCTCCTCCTCCTCCTCTTCGTCTTCCTCCTCCTCCCTCCTCGTTGTGGTGGCGGTGCCCTTTGCCCTCCCACGGTCGTCCTGCGCCCCGCGGAAGATTGGAGCCGCCATCCCCACATTGCGCATCGCCATCCTCATGGAAGCCCAGCAGACAGGGATGGGGAGGTGCGGGCTCCCCTCGAGGGAGGAAAATGGAGGGGGGAATCGGGCAGGCGTAAGGCTCGAATTGTGGGGACTCGGAACCGCTCGACGGGGCCGCCAGAATGATGGCGGAACCTGGTCTGGAATTTGCCGCGACCTCCCGCTGCAAACATCTCACGGAATCTGGATCATCCAAGACAGTTGCGCCGGACCTGTCAAGAGGTGACGGCGAACCCGAGTTCCGACAAGCTTGAGGCCTTACGCGTCCCTGAAGGAAAAGCGAATGATGGGGGAGAGGGTGAGGATTAGGTCGGACCTGTTCCTCTACCGGGGGATTTTGGGCGAAAAAATAAAAATTCCCCAAACAACAGTCCAAAAATGCTCAAACATAGTCAACATATCGTCCCCAGACTGTTTGACTGTTTTTGAATATCCCTCCTGTAGAGGGACAAGCCCGACTTAAGGTGAGGACGAATCTCGCAATCTCGCAATCCCTGTGCCGTTGGCTGCCCTGGCATCCAGTAGTGGGGCAGGAAGTCCCCCAAGAGCTTGGAGGGGGAGATCTTGGAGCCCATGGCGAGGCTGTCGAAGTTCCACGCTCCGCCCTCAGGCGGAGAGTCGCCAGTGAAGAAGCGCCAGTGCTGGCGCGCCATCTTCATGATCTCCTCCTCCTCGTGTTCGCCCCTGACCACCTTCAGCTCGTCGACCTCTACGAACACGACATCGCACGTCAGCGCCACGATCACATCCATTGCCTTCAGCTGCGGAACGCGAATGCAGCACGCAGTGGGCCATGGTGATAAGCGCGCCAACCGCCGGAAGGCCTTCAGAAAGCCTGCGGCGGAGGCGTGGGACCCAGTCTCCTGAATCACGTCGATGATGATCACGCTGGGGTTGCCGGCGAGATCGGAGATGAGCTTGTAGAATGCCTCGCACAACATCTCGACGTCCCCATCGAAGGTCAAACGCTCCTCCTTGACAGACGACTCTATGAAGGATCCCTCCCGGCACAGGGCCTGCCAGTGGGCGTTCCTGGGCCCGTCGCCGCTGAAGCTGTTTGTCGACCCCTCGCGCGTCAGCTTGCTCCTGCCAGTCATGCTGTTTGTCGACCCCTCGCGTGTCAGCTTTCTCCTGCCACTCATGCTGTTCGACGACCCCTCGCGAGTAAGGCTGGGCCGTTGCACCTTCTCCTTCATGAGCGGAGGCGTCGAGCAAACAGGCCCCCCCCCCACGGGAGTGGCTACCTCGGCCATGGCCCACCAAATTTCCCTAAGGCGGGGCGCTTTGCCAAATAGGCTGCGGAGCACAATGCCGGAGGATGAATAGCAGCAGCGGCAGCAGCAGGATGAAGAGGAAAAGAACGAGGGATGTTCGTGCCTTGTCCAGAAGCCACAGCATGAGGAGCAGCTTCAAAGAAGGATGATGGCGACGACTGGCGATGTATTCGACATAGCCAATGAAGCTCGATACTTCCCTGGCGAGCTTGCCCAATCGCAATGTGTTTCGGGATAATGGGCCTCCCCGAACTGCTGAAAAAAACCAAATGCTTCACCAAAACTCTTGGTCAACCCATCGTGACAAACACTTACGCCATATACCGCGATAGAAACAGCGGGCGAGCTCAGGTTCTAGCTGTCTTGGGCCCTGGTGTACAGAGCTGGAGAAGGCGTGTCCAAATAATCTAAAGAACAAGGCTTCGATGCCAACGAGTGCGTTGCTGAGAGCGCCATCGTGATTATATTCAGATCTGATCGAGAGGTACGCGCACATTCATCTACATCTTTAGATGTGTACATACTCATGCATCTGCATTCACATGCATACACATAGATACTAAAAGGCGCGCGCATTACATGACTATTGACACGCAAACGTGTCAATACATGTATGCATGCATGCACGGATGCATGCGGGCATGTATGTTTGTATGCATGTATGTATGTAGGTATGGTGCATGTGTGTATACATATATACTGCTGTATGCATGTGTACATGTCATGTGCTTCTGTTTGTATGGCTGGATGTTTGTGTATGTATGGATGCGTACATGGGTGCATGTATGCATGTACGTATGTATATATATACACATATATATATATATATATATATATAGATAGTTGCATGCACGTATGGGTGTGTACAGGTATGTTTGTATGTATGTATGCATGTGTGTACGCATGTATGTATGCATGTATGTATGTGTATATATACATGTATATGTAAATGTATGTATGTATGTATGTGTGTATGTATGGATGGATGGATGAATGGATGGACTTATGTATGTATGTATGTAGGTATGTATGTATGTATGTGTGTCGATGTGTATGTACGCGTGCGTGTATGTACGTACGTACGTATGTATGCATGATTGTATATATATATATGTATGTATATGTGTGTAGATAAGCGTATATACAGATTCTGACCGTCGCCGCACGAATGCAAGGTCTCGAATGGGGCCTCTGCGGGTTCTCTTGGGGCCGTTTCCAATCCGTCATAGGGGGCCTCCTGGGCCGTCGTGTTGCCCTCTGGGGCTGTCTTGGTCCTTGTGGGCAATATTGAGGGCCTCCTGGGGCTGTTGTTAGTGGGACATCTTGGAGCGATTTCGGGACTCTTCGGTCGTCTCTCGAAATCGCTCGGGAGACCGAGAGGACGAATATGCGCAAATGGCACCGAAGCCTAGAAAAGGAAATCCACAATTTCTGCCTCCTGGGTGCCTTTTGGGAGTTGTATTCGGGCCCCCTTGGGACATCCATATTGGGCACATGTTGGGCCATTTTGGGCTCACCGTGGCCGTCTTGGGGCGCTGTTCGGTCCCTTCTGAAACTTCCTGGGGACCTCCGGGGCCGTCTTGGGGGCACCCGGGGCCGTCCCGCAACGACTCGGGCAAGTCCACGTGGCTCAGCAAGTCCTCGGTGATGGGCCGGTGCAAACTCGTCATGCGAGTTGACGGCGACCCCGAGAATGAGGCGCCGATCGCGGCGGCCCCGACGTGGCGGGCGTCCTCCGTGTCGGAGAGGCGCGTGCCATGATGCTCCGTCCAACCGATCATGACGCAGAGGCCTTGGTGGACCGCCTCTGGCGGCCAGGAGTTGGCCGTCGCCACCGCCGCAATGGCCTTGCGATGTGTTAGCGTGGTCAGTTTCTTCATGGAGAACGGCGCGTCGCTCCCGATCTCCACGTGTGTCCTGGTGTCCGCAAGAATGTCCGCCAAAGCCTGCTTCACCGACTCGTAGACGTTCTCCGCGCACTCCAATCCTCGGATGGGGGGGGGAACGCTTGCATTTCCCCCCCCCCCCCCCCCCTCCCTGTGAATCGGCGAAGGGGCCCGTCGGCATGGGGCTGGCGCGGCCCCCAAGCGCGGGGGCGCATGGCAAACGCTGCCAGTCGGCGCGCCTATCGACCCATCAGGGGCCCCAAGAACTTGTCCTTCGCACGCGCTCGGGGGGTGTGGCGCTTTCGGGGGGGGGGGGGGGGGGGGCGCCGCCTGGTTAATCCCGCGCGCGTTTCGCACCAGCATGTCCTTGGAATAGATCAGCGGGGTAGATGTACGTCAGCAGCTCCTCCTCTGAATCGATCTGGCTGAGCTGCTCCAGCGCCTCGGACATCGGGCCCTGCATGTTCATCGCCAGCGCCGCCTGGTCGCTGTCGAGAAATCGGAAGCCCCAGTGCGGGTGCGAAGAGATGGGGGCGGGGCTTCTGCTTCGCGTCCTCGGCGTCTGGGACGGCTGAGCCTGCGAGAAGTTGCTGATGTCCTGGCCCTGGGTAAGCACGACGGCCCGGTCCTCGGCGGGCGCGACGGCCTACCCCTCGGCGCGCGTCGGCTCGTCCTGGGACGGCGCGGGCGTGCCCTGGCAGGCGCCCCCTTGCGGCGCCAGGGCGGCCTCGGGGGCTGGCGCTCGAAGCCCTGCCGCGGGGGGGCGGACCTCGGCGCTGGTCTCGCGCCCCGTGCCCAGCGGGTTTGGCCCCGCCCTCGGCTGCCGTACGCCGGCACATAGTCCTGCACCGCCGCCACCAACTTCTCGCCAGGTCCTGCCGCCTCTCCTTCCAAGAACATCCCGTCCATGTGGTGCACCATCCTGGCGTCCAGCATCGGCGGGGGTCCTCCAGCGTGCTCGTGTTTTCCGCGCGCATGAACTTCTCCATGTGGTCCGAATACTGGGCCCTCGTCCTCGGCATATCAAAGGCGCCTGTTCTAGAGTGCCGCGCTGGCTGCTGGTGTCCCGGAGCTCGCCTTGGCCAGGCTCGCGTTGTCCAGCTCGGTGGCAGACACGTCCGCCGCGGACTCCAGGCGACCCAAGTTCGGATGACCTCGCATCAGGCCTGATGCCACCGCCAGCACTGCCAGGGTCACCTTCAGAGCCTCCTTCACCGGGCTCCGACTGGGCTTGCCAGTCCTCTCGGCTCGAGGAGGCAACGGTGGTCTTTCCTGCACAAGACGAGCATCTGGGCCGCCACGTCGCACATGGATCCGAGTCGCTCTCGTCGTCGGAGGGGCTCTCTGTCGAAGATGTGTCTGAGGTGTCGAGAGGTGCCGATCGCCCTCGAGAGCTGTGGCCGTGCGCCGCTTCGCGCCGCAGGGGCGGCCCATCTGCCAGGTTGATCTCCGACGGCAGCCACCTGCCTAGAAACCTTGAGCCAGTAGCGAACATGCAAGCAGCAACGCGATGATCCAGCATCAACAAAAATGGGTTCCGACACCAAAATTTCGACAGCGACGACACGCGGCCCAAGTTGTCCCCAAGAACCAAAGGATTTTTCTGCTGGGCCGCCGGGCCCCCCAGGAGTCGCTTTCGGATAGTCCCCAAGTAGCCCCGCATTTCCGATAGGTGTATGGCCTCTGGATTGAAGATCGGCTGGTATTTCGTCTTCCAGGAGAGCTTACTAACGAACTCATGGGGTACCTCAGGGAACACAAGGTTCTGATCAGGCTAGTTTTTGTCCGGGTTTTCGCTCGTTTCCTCTTTCATGCTCATGAAGGCTCGCTGACGGGGTTGATGAACGAGGGGGTCATCAACTTGGTCACCACTTTCGTAACGCCACCTCTCGTGCCAGCAACCGATCTGGCGGATGTAGTCCACATCGGCAGTGCTCTCGTCCGTCGCGTGGCCGCTCTCGCAAGCGTCGAAAGCGGACACTCGTGGATCCCAAGCAGATCCCAGATGTTTCCGGGCAAAGATCCATCGGCCTTGCACCATCTTCAACTCGCGCTCAACACTAGACCAGACGACCCGAGGCTCCAGGAACCTGGCCGATACAAAATCATAGCAAGCCCCCAGGGTGCTCAGGAGTTCCCGACGAAGCGAAGCGATGAACGTGAAGTGCTCCAGGAGTCTTTCCATCTGCTTACTGGTAATCGGCTCTTTGTTTTTGGCCAGGACCTGGATGGACCACCACGACTTCCAGTAGCGAGTAGAAGACCAGTGCACAGTCTGGTGCCGGCCATCTTGCTCCACGCCGAGGGTGCGCATGGTAAGCCCAGCCTCGCTAAAGTCGCGAGTGGCGTACCCTGCATTCTCCAAAAGCTCAGCGGCCCGCCTCCCCATCCCATCGACCTCCTCTGCATTGTGCCCCTCAACCAAAACGTCATCCACGCAGAGCGAATAAAAGGCGTGCTCCGGCACAGAAGGAGGAGGGCGAACATCGCAAGCACGCCGACTCTCTTCAAACGCGGGGTCTTACTCGAGCACGTGTTCATAAACGCGTTGAACAATAGACGAGCCCCACTCCCACCCCATCGGAACAACCGTAAGCAACGGGAACAACTTAGCATCTGGATCCACGGACACGCCCTCGATGCTAGACACACCCTAGATCCTTGGCCAAGACAGGGTACAACCCGAAGGGATAAGATAACCACTCTGGCATGTCATGTTGATAGAAGGCGTTCTGAGCATCTACACCCGAGAAAAAAAGAGTCCCCTCCCTGGCTCCACACCTACCTCACAGAAACTCGCCCCCGAGAACAAGTGTGCGTTCGGGGGGTCCTTACAGTGCTGATTAGACCGCCTACGCTCCAAAATTATCCTAATATTGTCGCCTTCCTTTTTGCCCAAATGCGGGTGAAACAGTTCGGTCCTCTGGAGGCTGAGCCGAAAAATGTTGCGCTTGAGACCGTCCTGAACGAGTTCAACATACCTAGAAGGCTTGCTAGCAAAGACCGCATCTTTATACAAGGTGGGAGCGCCCTCAGCTTTGCGAAGCTCACGCAGCTCGATTTTCTGCCGCACCCAGCGGGAGCCAGGCCCAGCGTTTAGAAATCCGAAGACATCCGGGGGGGCCGTGGTCAGAACAT